GATAGATAGATAGACAGACAGACAGACAGATGAGAGAGAGAGAGATGGGAGGGGGGGGGGGGAGGGAAGGAGGGAGAGAGAGAGATTAAGGGTGTCAAACTCAAGGCCCACAGACCAGATCCGGTCCACAGAGTGCTTAAATCTGGCCAGCAGGACAGCTGTGGAAACAGTGAAGGACTCTGCCTCTGTGAGAGAAAATGGAGCCCGGGAGGGCCACATACACACCTCTGGACTCTGTTGTCACTGGCAGAGGGCTTCAGGAGGCCATCCAGGGCAAAAATAGAGCTTTGCTTTTGATGTAGGGAGCTCATAGTAGGGCTATCAGGTTATCACTGAGGGAATGGACATCCTTTCTTCCTTTTTGAGTCTTTTTTTTTTTTTGTCATCATAAAGAGATGCAGTATTCATTTCAAGTGTCCTTGTGGTAGTTCCCAACCAATAAGAATATAATTCCAACTGATGTAAATGTCTACCAGGGAACTTTCCAGAACAAAATTAATATGTGAAGAAAAAAAAACTTCTATCTAAAATACAATCATTGGAGCATGTGTAAAAACCTTGAAAATTAATTCACACTCTGCCCAGGTTTTGGAAAAATAGGGATTGTATTATTGTTTTCAAATTTGAATCCCCTCAAATTTGAATTTTTGAGATGTTACATCCATGATCTTGCAACCACATTTCAACCTCTGTGTTGCCTTTTCTTCAGAGTAAGAATAAGTCAGATCTTTAAAAAGTGTACCTATCAGTAGTATGCAATGTTGCCTGTGTGTATAGTGATTTGTGGTCACACACACTCCACTCCTTGTGCTCTGTTTTCACTGGCAGATGGCTTGCAAATCAAACAAAAACAAAATAAAAGGAGAAATGATTCCCCTTTTGCCTTTGAGCATCCAAGAAGGGACAGGAAAGGAGAAAGGGAAAGAGGAAAGAAAGAGAAAGAAAAAGAAGAAAGATGGGAAGAAAGCAAGGAAGAAAAAAGAAGGAAAAAGGGGGAAGAAAGAAGAAAGGAGAATGAAGAGGGTAGGAAAAAGAAGAGAAGGAAGGAAGGAAGGAAGGAAGGAAGGAAGGAAGGAAAGAAAGAAAGAAAGAAAGAAAGAAAGAAAGAAAGAAAGAAAGAAAGAAAGAAAGAAAGAAAGTCCTGCCTTCGCACTTGGCCACCAGCAGACAGCAAGGCTCATCTGGAGGACAAGAGTTTGGCACTCTCCCTGGTCTCACCTTTTTCTATTGGAGGGAATGAATCCCTCCAGCCCTGCCCAGGCCACCACAGGTCCCCTCCCGACACGAGTGATCTCAAGCTGGCCACGCCCACCCCAGCACGCCCACCCCAAAGTCAAACACAACCCTGATGCAGCTCTTATGAAATTGAGTTTGACACCATTGAGATAAGTGATAGATAGATAGATAGATAGATAGATAGATAGATAGATAGATAGATACATACATACATACATACATACATGATAGATAGGTAAATAGATAGGTAGATGGATAGATAGATAGATAGATAGATAGATAGATAGATAGATAGATGATAGATAGATAGATAGATGATAGATAGATAGATAGATAGATAGATAGATAGATAGATAGATAGATAGATGATAGATAGATAGATGATAGACAGACAGATAATGTTCTTATGAATCTCATGTATTTCCATTAAATCATTTTGTTTACAAATTGCTTTTATCTTTTGTTCCAAATCCAAAACTAGGTTAAGTTTGTGCTTTCTTTCTCATTTCAATTAGAAACAACTGTCTTTCAGTTTACTCATAGGATTTTATATTTACACCAGCAAGATAAACAGTCTCCTCATAAATGCTTTTGCTGGTGTCCTGTGTCTAATGTAATATCAGAAGTTAAATTGGTTTAGAAGAAACAGTTTGGGGAAAAAAAGGCTGTATCAAATGTGTGGAAGATTATTTTTTCATCAATCTAGAAAGTGTTCCTTCATTGCAAGTAAGGAGCAGCAGGCTAACTTTCATTACCGAAGGGTTCCCTACACTCCAGGTTGCAGCCCAACACTGAGCCTTGAGGCATTTGGAACCAGGCTGCAGAAGTGGTGGGTGAGCGCATGTGTTCACACATCCCCACTTGCGAGAAGCGAGTATGTTTGCTTGCACTCCATTTGTGCTAACAGCAGGGACACATGCCAACCACTTGTGCAAATAAAGCTTCACACACATCCACACTTGCCCACCACTCATGTGGAGCCATCCTCTCTTCCACCAACTCAAAGTCCGCAAATACTGTTATGCCCCTATCGGAGCCTGACTCTGTGGGAGAAGATGAGCTGGAACTGGAGCCCATAGAGATTGAGGGGGAAGCTTCATTGGCTTTGGAGGAAAATGGGGAAGGGCAGGGCCAGTCAGGCCAGGGCCTTTCAAGGTTAGGACAGCTTGTAGGCAGGGAGGAACAGGGGCAGGATGACCAAGAGAGACTAAGCAGTGAACACGAGAGACAGAGCTCAGGCAATGATCAAGGACCACCCCCTCTTGATCCGAGACCATGGAGAGTGGAGAAAAGGTGAAAACAGCACAGATTGAGCAGCATACTCAGGAGAAAAGTGCCCCGCCCCTCTTCATAAGGCACACCTGAGGAATGAGACTTAAGGAGATGCTGTGGAGGGGAGCATTTGTTGGGAACAAAGACTGAATGTTGAGTGCCGAGTGTTGCAGAGTGGCGGAACAACTGAGGCGAACATGGAGCAAGCTTCAGCTTTTACTTTATTGTAACAATAAAGGGTTGCCATGGCTGCTGCACTAACAAGGCAGCCAGCTGGCGGACAACAGCTGATGCCATTTGATAGCTCCCTTTTATAGCCAGCTGTCAAATGGCATCAGCCAATAGGAACGGTCCATGTTCTCGCTGGAAACATGGACCAGAGTGAAGACTTCAGCTCAGTCTTTTACGAATGCCACACTCCTTTCCCCCAGAACCGAGCATGTGTAGTCCTTCAGGTAACTCAGGCGCTTACGCAGGTGGCCAGATCTTCTAGGCTCTGACGGAGCTGCTGCTGGAACTTCTCTGCTTGTCGGGCATTTTCTGGTGACGACGAAACTGGTGTCTTGGCTTCAGGCAGCTCTGGGTGAGGGACCGATGACTGCTCAGGTAGGCTTGTGTCACTGTCAGGTTCGCGGGAAGTTTGTTCGGGCGCCGGTGGCTTTTCTGCCGCAGGAACATCCTGAGGGCCATCTGCAGACGAACTCCAATGCCTTCTAAGTTGATCGATATGGTGGTGCCAAATGCGCCTGTCTTGCAATTGGACCCTGTAAGACTTAGGACGGGTTACTGCCACAATCCGCCCAGGCATCCACAAAATGTGCCCTGCATAGTTTCTGCCATAGACCCAGTCACTCTCAGCAAACTCCCTTGTCTGGCTATTTGATCCCAGGGGCGTAACTGGAGCGTAATATGGATGGAGTCTGTCTAAAGTAATCCTCAGATGTCTACCCATGAGAAGTTCATCTGAAGACCTATTAGTGGTGGCATAAGGAGTCGTGTGCTGGGTTAGAAGATGCTTAGCAAGCCTAGAGTGCCAATCTATGGGCCCAAGCCTTTCCAGGACCTCTTTAGCACATCTGACTGCCCTTTTAGCCAGACCATTACTGGCAGGGTGGAAAGGAGCTGTAAGTGTGTGCTTGATCCCCAGGTTAGCTAGGAAGACCTCAAATTCACAAGAAGTAAACTGGGGGCCATTATCAGACACAATGATGTCAGGGAGGCCATGGGTAGCGAATATCCTTGATAAAGCCTTAGAGACAGCTTCTGAAGTTGTGGTGGTCATCAAGGTCAGCTCTACCCATTTAGAAAAAGAATCAACCATCACCAGGAATGTACGCCCATGAAAAGGGCCAGCCAGATCAATATGCACCCAGGACCACGGGGTCCCAGAATCTTCCCACCTACCTGGAGTGGATGTTGGTGGAGCAGGTCTGGTAGCTTGGCATGGCTGACAAGCATTCATCCAACTTGTAACCTGAGCATCCATGCCTGGCCACCATACATAACTGCGAGCTAGGGCCTTCATCCTGACAATGCCGGGATGTCCTTCATGCAGGACTTCTAAAACTGAGGCTTGCAACTTGGAAGGGATAACTACCCTAGTTCCCCAAAGTAAACAGCCTTGCAAAGAAGACAGTTCTTGCTGGTGAGTTTTGAAGGGCACGAATTTGGGGGCATAAGGAACTGCAGGCCACCCCCTTCCCACCCAGTCAAGGATTTGGGCAATTACCTTGTCCCTGGAAGAGTGGGCAGCGATATCAAGGGCGGTGATGGGAAGGTTGAGATTGTTGATCAGGAACACAGCATTAGTTGGTGCAGGATCATCAACAGGAACAGGCAGGGGGCAGCAGCTAAGGGCATCAGCGTGGCAGAGACTCTTGCCAGCTCGATGAACTAGTGTATAGTAATAGGCAGCCAGAAATAAAGTCCACCTGGTCATTCTTGGAGACAAAATCTGAGCAGTTTGTCTATCGCCTGATAGAAGACCTAACAGAGGCTTATGATCTGTAAGTAACTCAAAATGGTGTCCATATAGAAACTCATGGAATTTTTTGACAGAAGCAACTGCAGCCAAAGCCTCCTTGTCAATTTGGCTGTAGTTGTGCTCAGCTGGGGAAAAAGTTCTGGAGAAAAAGGCAATGGGTGCCTCAGAACCATTAGGCAGTCTGTGACTTAAAACGGCTCCTTTGCCAAAAGGAGAAGCATCTGCTACTAAAACTAAAGGTAAATGCTTGTTAAATTGGATCAGAATAGCATTGGATGTAAGCAATGATTTGACTGCACAGAAAGCATGGGCTTCCTTAGGCCCCCAATGCCAGGAGGATTGCTTATCCAAGAGTCTGTGCAGAGGTTCTGCAATGGAAGCCTTATGTGGCAAAAATGAAGCGTAGAAGTTAAGAAGTCCTAAAAAAGCCTGGAGCTCGGTTTTGTTAGTTGGTGTGGGTACCTTGTGAATAGCTCTTACTTTGGATTCGATTGGGTGAATACCAGAGGCGTCAATTCTGTATCCCCAAAATTTGACCTGTGGGGTGGCAATAGTGCACTTCTCTTTCTTTAACTTAAGACCATACTTCCGGAAACAGTCAAGGACTCCTTTGACTCTTTGCAGTAACTGAGGCTTGTCAGGGGCAGATATTAAAATGTCATCGAAATAAGGAATTACGCCAGGTAATCCTTGAAGTAGTCTTTCCATTAATGATTGGAAAATTCCTGGGGCCACACTTATGCCAAATTGGAGGCGCCTACATTTAAAAGCGCCCCCGTGCATTACAATAGTTTGTAGTTCAGTGGCTGTGTCATCAACAGGGAACTGTTGATAGGCCTGTGACATGTCTAATTTTGTGAAAATGGTTCCTGGCTCAAAAGAATGCAGCAGGTGCTGGATAACTGGGACTGGATAAGCGCTGATTTGTAAATATTTATTCAAAGAGCTCTTGTAATCCGCACAGATTCTTAAGCTACCATCTTTCTTCAGGGGTGTCACTATTGGGGTTTCCCATTTTGTGAAGTCCGCAGGCTCTAATATACCCTGTTTAATTAATTTGTCAAGCTCCATGTCTAGTTTGGGGCAGATTGCAAAAGGTACCCTTCGAGGCTTTAAACGGATTGGTACTGCCAGAGGGTCCAAGTTGAAAGATATTGGGGTTCCTGAGTAACAGCCCAGGCCCTTGCTAAATACATCAGCGTAATCATTAAACAAGGTGTCCACTTCAGCATATGCAATAGAGTGGATTCCACTTATATGGAGGCCAAGGGCAGGGAACCAGTCTAACCCCAACAGGCTAGGGAGGGCACCATGCACTACCACTAAAGACAAGTGACCTTTAAAATTTTGAAATTGAATAAAAAACTTGCCTTTTCTGATGACTGGGATGGTTCTGCCTTGGTAGCCACGTAGGGTTAATTGGCAGCCGTGAAGCCTCTTCTTAGCCATTCTGGGAAGCAGTTGTTTCAAGGTGCTCCATGAGATGATGGACAGTGCTGAGCCAGTGTCAACCTCCATCCTGCAAGGTTTCCCTTTTATAGAAACAAAAACACTGATTTTGTTAGAGCCTTTGTTAGTCAGCTTAGCTTGATAGCAGGTGAAGCAGTCTTTAATTTGTTTTTGGAAATGCTGAGTCATCTGAGGCTTTTGGGCAAAAGTCTTTCTTGCTTGACAGATCCTGGCTAAATGACCCTTTCTCTGGCATTTTAGACAAATGGCATTCCTGAACTTGCAGGATGCCCTGAGGTGGTTTCCCCCACAGCTTAGACAAATGGTCTGAGACCGTGGAGGTTGATTGGGGGTTGACCTGTTTTCCCTTTGGCTGGTTTTGGGCTGCCTGAGGCGATTTACATCACTAGCCTCTTCATAGCCTTCTTCTGTGGAGACTTCATCGTAATGGATAGCCATCCATTACACTTCTCTGGCTAATTGGATTTCCCTGAATTTCTGCTGCTGAAAGTGCTGATAGTTCAGGAGCTTGAGACTCTTCAATTGCTAATTTAAGGGTTAAATCCCCTTTAGCCAATAGACACCTTTGTAGCCTTAAATCCCTGACTCCACAAACTAGTTGGTCTAATAACATGTCCTCCAGTACAAGGCAGCTGTTCGTAGGGCAGCCATGTACCCTTATGGCAGCCATATACCCTCTCTCCCTCAGCCTGAATCCGTCTTCTAAAAGCATGACACCTGGCAATTCGGGATGGCTTAGGGGAATAGTGGTTAGAAAGAATTTCCTGCAATTCTTCCCATGGAACAATCTTAATTGAACACGGAGCCAATAATGCCGTATCAGTGTCAAACACTGTGGCTCTGCAAAAACTTAAAAAGTAGGACTTTTTCCTATGGTCGGAAATGTCAGCGAGGTCCATGGCATGTAACAAACAGTCAAATTGGTTTATGTAGGATTCCCATGTTTCTGCTGTTGGTCTGAAAGATGGGAACGCAGGATTCAAAGTTATCTCGACTCAGCGGTGCCGGATCTTCTGAGGAAAGTTGAAATTCGCACTCGCGAATAGTGACAGTAAGCTCTTAAAGTGACAAACAGCTTGGTAGTGGCTTTGGCTCTTTTTGTAGTGACTTCGCTCAGTGATTCTTTGCCCGGTTGCCTCTTATATGTATCCTGCCCTCATCACCAGTGTTGTAGAGTGGCGGAATAACTGAGGCGAACACGGAGCAAGCTTCAGCTTTTACTTTATTGAAACAATAAAGGGTTGCCGCAGCTGCCACGTTAACAAGGCAGCCAGCTGGCGCACAACAACTGATGCCATTTGACAGCTCCCTTTTATAGCCAGCTGTCAAATGGCATCAGCCAATAGGAACAGTCCATGTTCCCACTGGAAACACAGACCAGAGTGAAGACTTCAGTTCAGTCTTTTCCGAACACCACACCGACTTTTGAACTTTCCTGGATTCCTTGCATTCTTTCTGGCTTTCTGGACTAATTATCTGGATCCTTTGCTTCCTGAACACCTTATTTTATCCTGCTGGATTTATTGCTGTGCATCTATGGTGTCCACAGTGCTGGGCAGGACTATTTGCAGCCAGAGGCTGTTTGCGATGTATGTGTGGGAGGAAGTTGTCATCACTTTGCTTTGGGACTTGCCAGAAACATGGGAGCCTTTGGGGAAATTTGGGGGGAAAAGGGATAGTTTGAACTGCCAGCTGCCTGTGTTATTTCTGTGTCATGCCCTGGGTCATCATAGGTTGGGGAACTCTGTGTTACAGGACAAGGTACATGTTACACACCTCTATTCTGTAGAGGTGAACAACTTTTTTTTTAAAAAAAGAATTATTGTTTTTCTTATTCTGGTGCTGAGACATGTCCCTCATTCCTGCTGAATTGTAGACATCCCTACTTTCAACATATAAGATGGCTGTCTGTTACAATCAATAAATTAATTCATTGTTCAGTCCAGTTGGAATATTAATTTCTGTTGATCATTGAGTCAGAGATCTTGGGTTCAGTAAACTGAAATATTCCTAAAAAAAAAATGTATTCATTTTTGGAAAAACATAAAGTCTGAAGCAACAATCTCAAATGTGGTAAGCATTCCAAATTTAGAATTAAAACTCCTTCTGTCTCACATGGGGAATTGAACATGTCCTCGCTTCATTATTTTCCTGCTGAAAAGTTAGAGAGAGAAGCTTCGTCTAGAGTCTGACTGATACTTTTCAGGAACTGTTATATTCCATCAGGTCAATAACACAAATATTCCCAAAGCTCTTTCCGGCACAATAGCTTGTAATAGCTTCAAAAGAGCTGTCAAATTTGATCATGTCAGTAAACAGCTTTGATTTGGCTGTTTTCCCTTGCTTTCTTCAGTTTATGTAGCAGGAGGAATAACTCTGAAACATGTGATTAAGGAACACAGAGGTTTACTTCCTTCTCTTCTCTAGGCGTTGCAAAGTTTAGAGCTGGTTGATGCTGTAAACTTTATGGATGTTGCAATTTTATAAGAACATCCCTGCAGAACAATCTTACATTGTCTTAGGAGAGACTGCAAATGGATGGACTGTCTTCAGACATTTTAGAAAAAAATCAACTACAGTAGTTTATTTTTCTTAATGTCCTGAATTGATAGTAATTGGTCATATTTAATCAAGTCATTTTACCATTATTTCTGAATCAGAAATTATGATTTGAAAAGATCCTTCAAACTAGGGCTTGAAACAAAATAAGCATATCTTGCTTTGCAATGTTGGCTTGAAAGGTCTCCAGACTACAGTTTTCTGGTTCAGATACAAGGAGAAAAAAACCAATCATTTTATCAATCCCAGGATGTTTATGGGTAAAATCAATGAGTTTATCTGATTGTACAAAAACAACCACTACATTTATTACTGATCTTGTCATGTAAACACAGCCAGTTTTATTTGACTCAGGAAACTGGATGTTCTTTCTTTCCTATAATAGCAGAGTTGGAGACGTCAGAAGTCAACTGGGCTCTATTTCATCCCCCATCCGAATCTACTATAGAACCATTTGTCATCACCCGGGGTGGAGAGAAGGAGAAAGGATTGTTTAACTGGGCATTTGTATGGAAAACCAGAACTGGTTTTGTTTCTTCGGTACCAACATTGTGTCCAATAAAAAAAATAACTTTCAGGAATTCAATTCTCCCAAGAGTGTTTCCTTGTTTTGTGTTTGCTAATTGGACAGTTGACATTGACAGGAATTTGAAGTTGATGGTCTCTTGATTGTCTACAGAGATTCTCAATCACCCAGGTTATGATTTTCCAAAAGATGGTTTTTCCAAAAGGCAAGTGGATTTTCTTGTTCTTGTTCTTTCTTTGAAAATGTTTCATTTCTCACCCAAGAAGCTTGAGCTGAATTGAATGAATTAAAGAAGCTTCTTGAAGCAAAATGTTTTCAAAAGGAAAAAAAAAAACAAGGAAGCCCATTGACTTTTGGAAAAAGCATCTTTGGGACAACCATGACCTGGATGATTGAGAATCTCTGTGGACAACCAAAAGACCGTCGTCTTCAAATTCCTGTAAATGTCAATGTCAACCAACAATTAAATAACCCAAAACAAGGAAACACTCTTGGGAGAATTGAATTCCATAAAGTAAAACTTTATTGGATACAACATGTTGGTACTGAAGAAACAAAACCAGCTCTAATTTTTCCATGCAAATGCTTGCCCAGTTAAACAGTGACTTCCCATTCTCCCCACCCCTGGGTGATCACATTCTCCAATTATGAAACATTCTTTTGTTCTGGGAACACTCCAACTCTTTCTCAAGCATCTGCACCAGTGAGAAAGAGATGGACTGCTCCCATAACAAAAGAATGTGTCAATCATGTGTCAACCTTGGAAGCTTCGAGGTTGCCACATTCAGTGCCTGGGAATTTGGGAGGGGGAATTTCATAGTGGGGTAGAAGACTATACTAATGACATTCTTTCTGAGAGAGTCAAGGACATGTTGCTCTGCAGCTGAAGGGGAATGACTGGGAGGATGGCTCCAATTGAGACAAAGATTTGATTGGGCCATGTGATGGACTGATGGGCACAGGGATTGGATCTTTGAATACTGTTTTGGGAAGGGAAAACCCAGAACTCTCAGATTTGGGTTAATGTCAGTGTTTCAGCTAACCAACTCCAAACCAATAAACTCCAAGACAAGCAATTCCTCAAAGTTCCAATTTATTAGAGTTGTCATATTGACACATATGGGAAAACCCAAATCTGAGAGTTCCAGATTTTCCCTTCCCAAAAGAGAATTCAAAGATCCATCCCCTGCACCCATCAATCCATCACATGGCCCAATCTAATCTTCGTCCCAGCTGGAGACGCCCTCCCAGTCACTTCTCTCCAGGTGCAGAGTAACATGTCCTTGACTCTCTGAGAAAGAATGTTGTTGAGTCTAATCTTCCACCTCTCTATGAAATCCCTCCTCCCACATTCCCAGGCACTGAATGCGACAGCCTCAAAGCTTCCAAGGCTGACAGAATGTTTGACTGGAAAATGTGATCACCCAGGGATGGGGAGAACGGGAAGTTGCCCTCTGGAAAAAGCACATTTGGACCCTTGGTTGTTCTGTTTTGCCAAAGGAAGAGGGAGATTTAAGAAACTGTCAGAGGATTTCTAGGGATTTTCAGTACCTTGTCATGATGAAATGCAGTATCTTGCAATGTGATTTAATTCACACAAGACCATACCCACCTTGAAGGGGGAAACCTCTTCCATGACAACAGAAGTCACTTGATAAAATGGGAAAATGCAGGGCTTGCCTTGAGTCATATTCGTTCTGTCTTACTGCTTTTTTGTTAGAATAGCTGCTTGGGGAACTGGAGTTGCTCACAGGATAGGATGAAACAAAGAAAACAATTGTGCATTTTCCTCCACCTCCACTTTTCAGAACCAAAGCTAAAATCCACTGAGACCAGTAAGGACAGCACTGCTGGAGAGTGCTTTGATTCCATGGGTCACTAATAACCAACTCTGCTGAAAACCTTTCTTTTAGAAATCATAGTTCTTACAGGAACCGCTAGCAGATTGTCCTTGAGAAAAGTCAAGCTGGTATTCTTTTGCAGTCGTTCTATCCTCCCACTCCTTCTCTACTCTCCTTTGCAAATATCTCTGCCTTTCTCAAATGGGGCAAGCTTGTCTTTGTCACTGCACTGCTACCTCCGTTGTTTGCCTTAATGGCTTTGGATAGAGTGTAATGCTTTGATTGATTTTATATATATATATATATATAAGTTGTCAGGCAAATGCAGGGGGAGTACGCTGTTATGCCAAGAAGCCCCTGCAGATAAGCCCTTGAAAATGAGCCCTTGAGGTTCTTCTTTCTTCCTCTTTCTCTTCCTCCTCCACCTTCTTCTTAAAACTTCTTTCCAATCTTGGAGAAGTCAAAAGTTATGAAGAATTTCAGCACCGAATTTCAGAAAAAGGGACAGAATCATGCTCAGTATTAGCGCAGGCTGAAGAAGCTTTTTGGATGAGGAGCGAAACATCTTCAAAAAAAAAGAAGGTGCATGTAGTTCTGCATGCTCATTTTCAACCACTTTATCAGGCTTATGATCCCACCAGTTCTTTACTACAGGCAGATGGTAGTTGTGACACAAGTTCCAGTGGGCCATCTGAGCAACTGTGTTGTGACGTTGTTTGTACTCAGTCTGAGCTATTGTCTTGCAGCAACCATCAGTATGTGATTGATGGTTTCGTCCGCTTCTTTGCAGAGTCTGCATTTGGGGTCATCAGCAGATTTTCCTATTCTGGCTTTGATTGCATTTGTCCTGATGGCTTGTTCTTGGGCTGAAAGAATCAGGCCTTCTGTTTCTTTCTTCAGTGCTCCATTGGTCAGCCATAACCAGGTCTTTTCCTTATCTACTTTTCCTTGGATCTTTTCAAGGAACTGTCCATGCAGTGCTTTGTTACACCAACTGTCAGCCTGAGTTTGCATTACTGTTTTCCTGTATTGATCCTTAGTTTGCTGCACTTTGAGCAGCTTCCTATTGTTGACCTCTATCAAAGCTGATATTATTATTATTATTATTATTATTATTATTATTATTATTATTATTGTTGTTGTTGTTGTTGTTGTTGTTGTTGTTGTTGTTGTTGTTATACTGTCGGCAGAATTAGCATTATCATTTCTCAGCAAATGGTATTAATAACATTTAGACATATATCACTCCATAGTGCTTTTACAGCACTCTCTAAATGGTTTACAGAGCCAGCATTTCACCCCCAACAATCTAGGTCCTCATTTGATTCAGCCTTCTTCAAAAGGATGAAAGGCTTGAATAGGTCAGGATTGAACTCCTGGTAGTGAGCAGAGTTAGCCTGCAATAATGCACTCTAACCACTGTGCCAATTGTTCCCCTTTAGATTCCAGGGACACGGTGGCTCAGTAGCTAAGACATTGAGCTTGTCAATCAGAAAGGTCGGCAGTTTGGCGGTTCAAATCCCTAGCACTACATAACGGAATGAGCTCCCGTTATTTGTCCCAGTTTCTGCCAGTTCGAAAGGATGTAAAAATGCAAGTAGAAAAATAGGAGCCACTTTGGTGGGAAGGTAACAGTGTTCCATGCGCCTTTGGCATTTAGTCATTCTGGCTACATGACCACAGAGTTGTCTTAGGACAGCAATGGTTCTTCAGCTTTGTAATGGAGATGATCCCTAGAGGCAGGATTGACCTGGGAGGACATTTCTCTGTGGACCACCAAAATTTTCTCACAGACCACCAGTGGTCCCAGGCCCATTGATTGGCAACTACTGTTCTAGTTCAACCCCTTACTCAAGCAGGAGACCCTATACCATTTCAGACAAGTGGCTGTCTAGTCTCTTCTTAAAAGCCTCCAGTGATAAAGCAGCCCATAACTTCTGAAGGCAAGTTGTTCCACTGGTTAATTGTTCTCACTCTCAGGAAATTTCTCCTTAGTTCTAGGTTGGTTTTCTCCTTGATTAGTTTCCAATAATTGTTTCTTGTCTGGCCTTCAGGTGCTTTGGAAAATAGGTTGAGTCCTTCTTTGTGGCAATTCTTCAAACCTTGAAACAATGCTATCATATCACCCCCAGTCCTTTTCTCTAGACTAGACATACTCAATTCGTCCAACCATTCTTCATATATTTTAGTCTCTAGGCCCTTAATCATCTTACTTGTTCTTCTCTGCACTCTTTCCAATGTCTCAACATTTTTTTTTATAATGCGGTGACCAAAACTGGATGCAGTATTCCTCACCTATACAGCATAGTTGTCTTTTGATTAATTTAGATCACCGTACTAGCATGCTATATGCTTTTAATGTATTTGATTGGCTATTCCAACATTCCATGAATGCTCAATTACTTCTCATGGATCATGGGTTTAGTTTCCACTCAACTGGTTGTTGTAACAAGGAAGAATTGTTTCTTCGTGTAATCCTCTCTTACCTTTTTAAATAGTCAAGTTTCAGAGAGCGTGTCCCGGTGTTTCTTCTACTTCCCCAAACCAGATCAGCCTTGAATTTCCACTTATTTAATTTTCTCATTTATCCTTCAAGATCCATCATACCATATCTGCTTCAGCTGGTTTTTGCTGAAGTGCCTGGGATTAATTTGAGTATGAGAAGTCACTGGTTTTTCATTAAAAGGGTAAAATG